CTAGCTGAATTGGGAGAGTTCTGGCTGTAAACAGAAGCAAAGACCAACTTTTCTAACCACACACCGCATTTGCTAGGTTAAACCGTTTCCCCCCTTGATAGGGAGGTTGGGCAGGCTAGGAATAATGCAATTTATAAGCTCATTTCCCCAGCCTAGCAGTTCCCCGAAATTCTTTTCTCTGAAGTATTTGTAGCAGTCTCTACTTGGCCTGGATTGTACTCAGGATAATCCACCAAATACTATGAATCTGTTACTTGTATTAGGATTTCTGTGACGAGGAAGACCACTGAAATACAGAGCACTGGCTTTTCTGAATCAATACGACACAAATATTGGTTCTACTCACTACTCCTCTTGGAGATTAACCCAACAGAACTTACAGGCACCGCAGTTCTGTCAGGCGCAGCAGTACAGTAAGGTTTATTACTGTCTGCCTTGAGAGGCTCTCCCCTAAGAGGGCACCTAGGACTCCACAGCAGCTGCTGCTGGGAATGCCTGCAGGTTGAAGATATGCTGTCTTGGCCATGAGGGTGGTTATTAGCCTCTCTGAGGCTATCATGTAGTTCATGACAATGAAAAGGTAAATGTCACCAAGTTTGTCGCTATGCATTAGCAACGTACTCCGAATTCACAAGACTTGTGATCTCAGCACTGCCTTTGGTCACAGGAGCAGCCTGTATATTGTTTACTCCCAGTAACCTGACCTGAGAAATAGTTAAGATTTTAAACGTTCCAAGTCTTGTTTGTTCAGATTGGTGGATGTCAGCTTAGTCACACTCAGCTACATCAAGTATCACAATGTTTATTGATAGATACAAGTATATAAAATCAGGGCATGAACATGACTTGATAAATTAAGTAGACTTAATTTCAATACTATAATAAGAGGGACCAATTCAAATTCTCACCATTTGTTTCACACCCACAAAAACCACTTCAAGGGCATTAAACGATCTCTCAAAACTGATCAGTTTTGTGCAAGTAAACCATGTTTCTTTTAAAAAGACGTGTGCACTTGCCCAGGCTCAAGGATATTAAAATCTAGCACATAAAGCCCATTACTAGAGGTAGAAATACAGGCAATATACTATTACGGCAACAACCATCAATTACAGTTAAGAATTTTTCTGTAACAACCAAATGGATAATCAAATATTGCAACAACTCAAGTATTACTGAGCAAAGTGCATTTCTACAGTATTCAGTGTTGCTATTCAGTTTTCTAACTTAAAACAGCCTATGATAACTGGCAGCAAAGAAGATCCTTGCAATAGACTGCCTTCTGCTTGAGAACTTATGATGTAAGTATTGCATGCTGCTAATATACTATCTAAACATTAAAGATACTCCTAAAATATTTGATGGTAGACTATGATTAAGACATTACACTACAAAAAACCTTATGCAGAAGGAAATCCTAACTGACGTGCTTCTGCTTTAAATATTGTGAAAACATTACAGCGGAATGAATTTTCGCAGTGGTTAGGTCAAATGCAGTTACATCATATCAACAGTATGTTTTGCACAATTTAAGGCTTTGGCTGGTTCTTTAGTCAGCTTCTTCCTCTGATTCTTCTTCTTCAGCAGTTTCTAGCCAGGTTAGCCACTGATTCACCTGTAAATTAATTTGTAATTTTAAAATAGGTAGTAATTACAGAGAAAACCTCAAAGCAGAAGTTTTGATTCAGGACCAAACCAGCAACCCACTTAAGTTCTATGTGTTTTATAATTGCAAACAGCCTCTGAGACACACTGCAAATATATTACTTGTAAGTTAGCCTTGAAGTTACTTTTTAAAAGTATTCATTATTTAGATTTGGGATAACATATAAGCCGTTTATGTGTTATCAGACATTTTGACACTACTCCAGTTATATTTCATGATCATTTTAGTATGAGACAGTGGCTCTTTCCAAACCTATGTGTGTTAAAGCAGTACTGTGGAGGAGAGAGGGGAAGAATATAAGATTCCAAAATAGATTTCCAGCTCTATCCCGAAACTGCATGATCAGATTCTCTTAAGAACAGAGCTAAGTGTAAATGCTGCCTGAGTGACTAAAACTAGTTTGTGAAGAAGTAAAACACAAGACATTGTAGATCAGTGTATCTCACAGCTGGGTCCCCTGGAAAACCGGTATTAATAATCACCTGGATGGTGTACCACAGACCTATTAATCAAAATCTCTGGGATTAGGACTGGAACCTGCTTTGTCATTTTAGAAATCCCTAGGGCTAAATTCCACTTCGTAAGAGTGAAAATCAAGCTATGAGAAATCTAGGAGCAATCTCCTATTAGCATAAGAAAACACCCAGTCTTGCACAATCACCCAATTTGTGTAAATGACTTGACTTTAGTAAAAAATATTAGCCACCTCTAGTATCTTACACAACTAGCACTAGGACTGAAGCCTTTCACTTCACAGCTTCACTCCATTTCGTTAGGGCCTCCTTTACTGCAGTGTGTAACAGTGCAGAATGATATGTACAAACCACTATAACGACTTTGCTTGTATTTCAGTTTTAAAGGCTCTTCGTTAAAGTAATACTAAGTAAATTGGAAGAAGCAGACCAAGTATCTCCAGGAAAAGATTTACCTGAAACAAAGCCTTGCCCTTCCCCGGAAACTCTTGGGTTATATCTTCCTTCCAAGCCAAGAAAGCTTCTTCTTCAATAATTTCCATGTCATAGAAGTGAACAAAAAAGCGGAGTAACATGCCTGAAGACAAAATGTAATTCTGTTATTTAGTATGCTGTTTAAAAAAGCACCCCACACCTGCCCCTTTCTGACATGGGCCACCTCACCTTTCGGGAAGTTGCTGTTGTAGCAGTGCACCTGAAGAGCATACAGGGCACTGACTTGTAGATCAACATGATCGTGAAGGAATTTCTGCATTACTGGCTTGAAAGAAAGAAGCAGTTGTTTTTCCTGCTCTAATTGTTCTTTGGAAGGAGCAGAGGAAGAATCTGTTTCATCACTGGGCGGGTTTACTTCACTAGAAATATACTGTAGGAAGCTAGAGAGAGAGGGCTTGTTAGAACCCAAAGCCAATTTTCTACTTTAAGAAACAGACAATCTTGATCCTTCCCACTACAGACTTTTTGTGGAAGACCCAACTTTATCTTACCTAGTCATTAAGATGTTCACAAATCCTTTATCTACATGAAGTTTTGGAGAGATGTTGTCTTTAATCCACTTATATATGGTCTGAGGGGATGGGTCCAACTTTATTTGCTTCAACAGTTCCTTCTCCAATTTGAGAAGTGGGAATAAGAAACTAAGTCCCTTTCCTTCCAAAATCTCCAACATGCGATCCTTATTTTGATCAATTTCTGAAGAGACAAAACCATTTTGCATCATCAGGTAGTAATTCCACAAATGTACAAGATTCATGAAACTCTTGACATTTAAAGCAAATTAAGGCTGGTGAAAACCGTAACTTTTAATGAAAGTGCAATCTACTTGTGCGAGGTCATAAGTCATTATCTGGACAGGACGATCCCACTGTCTGTCCTACTCAGGTACCAAGGAATCTAGAGTTTGTATTTAAGTAGCAAAATTCTGAGCATTCTCTTACCTGGGAGCATTTTCTGCATATTGACCTTGCTTTGTTGGAAAAGTTCTGTTAACCATTCTCGATCTTGTAATTTAGCTAGTTGCTGAAGACAAAGTAAGAAGAGAGGAAAATGGGTGCCACTTTCCAGTGGTTGAGCTAGTTCTGAAATGCTCACCAGCTCTGAAATGATGGCACGAGCTGCAAACTGTGCTAAATACGATTTCACCAAGGGGATGTCAACCTCCAGTTTGGGGCACTGGTCCAATACATTCAAAAAAGCCTTAAAAGGAACATATACACGGTCAATTTATTAGTTGTCAAATTTGAATAGAAAGTATTCTCACAGAATCAGGAAAGTGTTCTACCTGCATGAAGTTGTCACTTGTAGCTATTCCTTCCTGTTTGAGTAAACTGATCAAAGAACTTGCTTTTTCTTTATCTTCATCACTTCTATCCAGTGACAGGATGATTACTTTGCTTAACATCTCAGGAAGAAAGTGTTTAGGAGCCCGCATTTCTCTTACACCATTGACAGCTTCATTTGCATTTCCACTGTTCAGATATTCAGTTACAACAGTTTCCTGAAAAGAACACAATGCATATGTCTTCAATGCTTAAAAACAAACAAACAAACAAACAAACAAACAAAAAAACCCCCCTCAAAAGTGCTCCATGAATTAGACGATGGAATTATTTGAAACTTACAGTTAGTTTAAGTAGTTCTTCCTTGGAGGGTGGTGGCTTTTTACTGGTCTTGGCAGGCTTTTCCTGAATAAGTGGTGGATTAGTTTTGAGACCAAGCTGAGGTGTCTAAAAAACAGTAACATATGTATGAATGTTCAATAACAATCTTTAAATAAAAAAAAAAAATCTTCAAAAAGTACTGAAATAGAACAAGTTGTCCAGCTACGGTCAAATACCTGTCCCAGAGGTGGTGTTTGAGTGCGTGGTGGTTGCGCACTAGGAGGAATCATAGTTATCTGGGGCTGAAGCTTTGGCACTTGATTTTTATTCATTAGGAACGACTGAGCAGGCCTCAGACTAATCTAGAATTGAACATAAATTAAAACAGGTATCCAAGTTAACAAAATGCAGTTGAATGAGATCTAAATGCAACATTCCCAAATCCTAAAATTAAGTCAGCCTATACAAGCGCGATAATCTCGGACAGGAATATAAATTTAACTAATAACCAAAAAAGTATTCCATGTTAACAGGTTTAATTTCTGGCAAGAAAATTAAAAGATCTGATCCACACAAGAATAAGATATTGTTGTATCTTGTATTTGTATCAGAACTTTCCTAGGATTAGCATCACTTAAATAACCAGAAAATTGCATTAGTTTAGAAATATCTTGCTTTATTCTTAAGTCATTCTATTGGGAGGGAAATCACAACCCTTGGACATTTTTTCCTTGCTCTTGCTAAAGACTTTATTTAAGAGGCTTGCCCTCATATCTCATAATCGTCGCTCACAGGACGCTGGATATACAAAGAGAGAAAAAGTAGTACAGAAAAAAGAGAAAGAGAAGGTGAAGAACTCCAGCATTAAGTCCTCTTAACGCATCTTTTTATAATCATCGGGCAATAGATTTCTAAATTGACAAACTGTTGTATATTAAGTAACATAGGCAAATGTACCTCATCTGCATTAAGCTGTCCTTTCTTAGAAAACCGAGGTGGCATATCCTTCGACTGTCCTTGCAGCTGGGATAAGAGTCCCTGACTCTGGTTATGGTAGAGCTGGCTTAGCCCCTATTTCAGAAAGGGAGAGAGAAAGTCTAGATAAAAAGGGGTCCACAAATTATGGTAATAAAGTACCACAGGGATGAGCCAAGCCATAAGGAAAGCATATATGAATTTGCCCAGAGAAAGTACAAGATGAAACAGGGAAGAATAAAACTCTAACCTAACTGTCAAATAAAGCGATGTGATTTTACTAATACTTTACTAATCTTAAGGATAAAATATTCCACCCAGTTTAAAATAAATGCCACAGATATAAATTTGGTTTAGAAAAACATACACAACCCTACAATATCTGCATTTAAAAAAGCAAAACTAAATCACACACATTACAGAATTTAGTGCTTGTAACCAGAGCATTCTTAAGTGTCTTCTTACCTGGCTTTTCATAAACTTGCCTCCCATCTCTCCAAACTGTGACTGTGTGGGAGGCATGATGTGTCCCCCATGGCCATTGAAGAGTTGATTTGAACGATGACGCCCCATGGTGGGTGAAAATCTATCCTGGATAACTCCTGGACCAGTACCAATTCCGCTACCTTTAAATACATACATGGACAACTTTTTACACATCTACTACTACGCTATGCTGATTTTTTTAGTTTAACCAAACCACCGTTCTGTTCAAAATCACCTGGCATTTGTCCGAACATATCAGCAAGTCCTCCAAGTGGGTCCCTATCCATTTTCATCCTGGGTGGCATAAAAGGTCCCTCCAGAAAGAAGTCACTCCTCATCCCTTGAGCCATAGGAGCTGGAATAAACACTCCTAGATCCTTTAGAAACAAGGTAAATAACATACTTGTTTTAAACATTATTTTGTGCAAAACTAAAATTCTTACATCGGGGGAAGAAAACAAAAACTTGTAGAGTATTGAAGTGCTATTTATATAATTTCTGAGCTCCACCAGTTAAGATGAGAGTCTCAAACAGGTTTTAGGAGGGTCTTTTGGCCATTATAATCTTAAAGCACACTTGATTAAAACAAAACAAAAAACACCCCACAACAACAACAACACACACACACACCCCACCACAACAACAACAAACCCCCCACGAAACCTTACTTTTACTGCATCTTGACGGATTTGATTGATCGTCTTTGGTCCATTGTCAAGAAAAGCCTTGCGAGGAACCCAGTGGTGTTCTCGCAACTCTACTGTATCCTTAAATTTAATGAATTTAATTTTAGTATTCTGAACAGAACAAGTGAGCACACAAACATAATTAAAGTAACCAGTTTTACCTGCAGCAGGAAACGAATCCTTGCTGGCAATTCCTTACTTAACATCAAGGAGCACATTCGGGCAAAGTACTGATCCATTAAGGACTAATAAAAGAAAAAGAAAATAGTTAAAACAAAATACTATGGCAAATGTATACTACTTAAGGATGTTAAGACTTCTAGATTATAATCAAGGTTAATGGCTAAATATGACAATCCCCTATATTATAAAAGTCACCTGATTTGAATATTAAGACAAACTACTTGTATCATCTGTTAGTAACACACATACCTTGGCTCGTTCATGGTCTAATCTAGGTCCCACTGTCCTCATTATCTGACAGAGGCATTCCAAATCTTCTCCCATATCTTTGAGTTGGACTCTCTTCTTCTTTTCCAAAAGCTACCAAAAGAAATACCTCATGATGAAGAAAATCTTCGCTTAAATGTTTTATATGTCTGCGCTGACTCACAGTTCTCACAGTATCAAACACAGTACTTTCTATTTGGTCTGTGCTGAAAAAATCCGTCCAAATTAAGCAATTATATAGGTAGGTAATCAGTTCTACCCCTATCTTACTACACTGCATACTTACCTCCATATTCAGAATTAAGTTTTGCTGACCATCTAAAATACTTAAGTTAGCCTACTACCACTCTCAGATAGCAAAAGATAACTGACTCATTTCCCCCAAATAATTGTGTACCCAGTTATTATTATTTAAGCCTAAATTCCCAAGTACACTTACTGTTTTGATGCACTTATGAAGGATAGATTCATGAATAAGATCAAGCTTTCCAAGTTCTCCAATGAATTTGATGTTCCCCAACATCTTGATCTTAGCAATGGCTCTCTGTTCCTCCTCCTCAGGGAGGAGGGGGTTTTCACGCTTATCATAGACTGGAAAAAACAGGAAAGAATAAAGTCAACATTCAAAATTAAATTGAAAATGTACAGAACTACTTAGCATCAAATATAATTCTTACCATCAACATTTCTGGTTCGATTTTCAAATTCATCTTGTAATTTGGAAATTAGGAGGCGTCTGAATGTCTGTTAGAAATAAAAGACATTTGGCAAGTTTTATTAATGAAATCTTTCAAATCAAATTTAAAATAGGCAAAGCAAGCACTACCACTTACTGTGCTTTGCTTCTGTCCTGGTTGACCCTCTGCTGCTGGGCCATCAAAGTTTGGTGCATCTTCTGCCAATCGCAGACATAGCTGAGCATACAGTGAGCTATACTTTGGCTCTTCTAGGGCTTTGTCCACAATCTATAGGAAACACCATTTTTTAAACTAAATATGACAACTTAAAGAACCCTTCATTTATTATTTAATAATTTCTTGCAGACTTAATCTTAGATCTCAAGTTTCTTACTAACTATGCCTTATTTGTAATTTAAGAATAAGAATACCTCTTTTGCAAGAATTACTAAGTAAACTAAATTAGATAATGCATATGAAGTAAGTCCAGTTATATAGATCTCATACTAGCCACAACCTACTCCATTCCCTTGAGTTGAAAATATGCTGAAAATCAAAACTGTAAACAGATGCTGGAATGCTCTATCAACTATCATACAATTTATCCCCAAGATCAAAATATGGTGGTTTCCACAGAATGAAAAAATGCAAACAGCCTGCTAATAAGTCTGTTAACTTTACAAGCATAGGTAGTATGAACAATTTAAAACTCACTTCTTAAATCGGATACCCTTAATATTTAGTTGGTCTTTTTAAAAACCGTTATTCAGAAAAACTGTTATCTAGCTCATAACTCACAAGTTTTAAGCAATAAATTCAAGTGTAAAAAACCCAACTTGAGTTTGTTAAATACCCTCCCCCTTCAGTTAAGTCAACATTTCACTTACCAGCAGTATGACCCCTTTAAGGATGAGTTTAGACTCTACACCCACATTGAGGAGCTCAAGGCATAGCTTGTCAAACTTTTCAGGAGTAAGCTTATTTAGTATGCTAGGGGAAAAGAAATCACCTTTCAGTGTCAACCAAAGAAGAATTGCGGTGAAAAACAGCTTTTAAATTATGTTCATTTTTCTTCTGTCATCTCCCTTTAACATCAAGGTATTTCTCCTTACTCATTTAACTAAAGGGATATTTAATCAAAGCTATCACTATTATTTAGTTTATAGTATCTATACCTGATTCAGGAGAGTCCCTAAGTGTCTGACAAGTACTTTCTTCACACATGCTCAAAACCCAGAGAACAAGGGGCTCCTTATTATCAAGGCTAGATGCAGGACCTAAGGCCTGTTGTGTGCTTCACTGGGTTATACACCAGACAATGCCAGCACAACAGACTTAAAGCAACTCTAAGCCCCCCAAATACTGATGGTACTGTTCTTTAAGATAAAACTATCAACACTGGCATTTGTTAAAATACATACTTTGTGTATGGACATTGTCTTCTGAGTAATATAGCATACCCACAAAAGAAATACAACTAACCCATTCTCCCCACCTTTTAGTTTAAGATCAAACAGACTCACAGACTTACCCTCTTACTTTCCTGAAGATTGCATCATGTCGTTCTTTTTCATTTGCGGAGTTGTTTGCTGCGGAGTTGTCATCTCGTCTAGTGCTTCGTGCAGGAATCCATTTCTGAGCGTTTTGCCCTGGGGTTTTCCCCAGGAACTCGCTAGTAAAAATTAAGTAAGACCATTTAGAACATAGCATCCAGTCACATAAATCAAATGTTATACTGATCAGAAATCCTTCTAAACAGAAATTTCACTCAACTTCCCTCACAACCAAATCTCACAATCAGTGGTCCTCAAACAATAGTGTACATCTCAATCACCTCAAGGGCTTTTCAAAGAACGTTGCCGGGACCACTCCCAGCTTCTGCTTCATTGGGTCTGGAGCCCAATAATTCACATTTCTAATACAGACTCCTAGGTGATGCTAATGCTGCCACACCTTGGGAACCAACATTTTCTAATGTCTTGTGACCATGTTGCACGATTAACCTAAATTTAGGTTATGTGGTAGAAATCATGACCAATAAGGTTAGGATTCCTGATGTCTACAGCCATAACCATATTGTTATGCATGACAAAGACAATACAAATCTGTTATTTGAAAACCTCATTGTTTTGACATCTTCACAGTACCTGTTGCCAGCAGTCTTGGGATAGTGCTGAGGTGCACCCCTACTTCCTCCTCCGCCCGAAGAAGCACTGATTAAAAGAAAACATTAAAAAAAAAAAAACAACAAAAAACTATATCCCAAATGTGTTCCATTCAGAGAAAGGATCTCATTAATTATTCTGTACTTTAGAAATTATACCACATATGAAGACTGAACATCGGCCAAATGAAAAGCCAAATAATTGAGCACATTTATTTTTCATATGGCAATAGGAGGTAGTGAAAATTGAAGGACTTTAATAAAAACAAACACGACACATTATAAAATTAAATGTACAGCACATTTATTCAGAATTACTTGGTGTGGTGATTCTTTTGATTGTTATTGGTTTCCAGCAATTGACCAAAATAAATCTATACACACCTGAAACGAGAAGCACCCCCTTCTGCAATCGCACTCTCCACTTTGGCGGCTTGACAATGAAGAGTCTTCAAAAGAATAATAT